TAATTATTGTCTTCTAGGAACACATTTTTTAATTCGATATATACTATGCTCCATTTTAAACAAACCACCATTTAATAATTTGTACATACGTATTAAAAAACTAATTAGTACACATAGATCTTAGAAAAGTATACAATTTGACCCAAAAATCTTTTACTTATGATAATTAATTAAGTTACTATTTGTAATGATTAATTAATGATAAAAGGAAAAAATAAATTCGAATAAAGTAACTAATGCGTTATTGATATTGTAAAATAGGAGTAATAGTTAAATGCAATAAATCTAATTTACCGAAGCCAAAAATAATTATAAAGGGAGGGAAAAGGGATTAAAGAAATAATAAATAGTAGTAGTATTTGTACAAGGAAAAAAAGAAAAAAGAATAAAGAAATAAGAAAAAGAATGTATTAGGCAAAGCGTAGACCGTAGGCGTAGAGAGAGAGGGAGGTCTACAAGTTTAAAAGTCTAGAGAGAGAAAGAGAGAGAGAGAGAGAGAGAGAGGGGAATCTGGTGCCAGCGATGAAGTAGAAGGATCAAAGCTTTCTCTCTCAGGTCAAAGCTGGCATTTCTTGTTTAAAGCCCTTCTTTCTTTTCTCCTCCTCCTATTTACACCACACTCTCTCTCTCTCTCTTCTCTCTCTTTCTCTCTCTATTTCTTCTCTCTCTAGCACAATTCACAGATTCAATTCTCATCGTGAAGATTTTTCGAATCAAAGATGAAGAGTTGTTAATGGTTGATTGTTGCAATCCACTAATGGCTGTTGCATCTCCGTCTCTCGCCGGCGGGGAGAAGAAACACTGGTGGCTCACCAATAGAAAGGTATTAATCCTATTTCACCCTTGATCCTGCCGCCTTTTCTGTAATTTTTTTTTTGCCGCTTTCAGGTAGTGGAAAAACTCAATTAATGGTTGGTTATTTTAATTGTAATTGCAGATGGTGGAGAGATATGTCAGGGAAGCTAAAATGTTGATTGCGACACACGAGCAGAGCGAGATCGGCGCGGCGTTGGGTCTATTGGAGGCGGCGCTTTCTGTGGCTCCTCGTATGGAGGCGGCGCTGGAGATGAAGGCGCGGTGCTTGCTGTATCTCCGACGGTTTAAGGAGGTGGCGGATATGCTGCAGGAACACATTCCCAGCTTAAAAATGGCGATCTCCGACGATTCATCGTCGTCCTCGGCGTCATCGGATAACTCGTCCACCCAGCTGTCTAGGGAGCGAGTCAAGCTTCTTTCCTCCGGTGGCGACTCACTGGGTGAGGACGAGCCGGCGTTCAGGTGCTTCTCTGTATCAGATTTGAAAAGGAAGGTTATGGCCGGCCTCTGTAATAACGTCGAAAAGGAAGGACAATGGAGGTAATTTTGTCCTCTGTATTCTAATTGCTTGTCTATTACGCGAAACCACTGTTTGCAATTAATGAAACCTCACCAAATACAGCTTTGATTAATGCATAATAATATTCCTTTTCAAAAGTCAAATTTCCCTTTTATATTCATATTTTCACCAATAACATATTGGATTTTAGTTAAAAGATAAGAAGATGATGAATTGATGATGATCCCTCTGTTTTCCAACTCCGTGACTCGAATTTTCACTCACTAGGCGATTTTTTTATTTATATTGATTTGAAACTAGTTTGAACTGACTCGGTTCTCTGTGATGCATTTCATCAAACAGGTACTCTGTACTGGGTCAAGCATGTTGCCACCTCGGCTTGATGGAGGAAGCCATGGTGCTCCTCCAGACCGGCAAGCGCCTCGCCACCGCCGCCTTCCGCCGGGAAAGCATTTCCTTCTCCGACGACATCTTCTCCTTCAACAAATTCCCCCACTCCGGCGAAAATTTCACCAACAACCAGACCCAAACCCCTCCCAAATCCGAGTCGGAAAGCATCTCCCACCTCCTCTGCCACATAAAACTCCTCCTCCGCCGCAAGACCGCCGCACTCGCCGCCCTTGACGCCGGACTCTACGCCGAAGCTATCAGACACTTCTCCAAAATCCTCGACGGCCGACGAGGAGCTCCTCAGGGCTTTCTCTCCGAATGCTACGTCCACCGTGCATCAGCTTACAGATCTGCCGGAAGAATCGCAGAAGCCATAGCAGATTGCAACAGAGCCCTAGCTTTAGACACTTCCTCCATTGACGCTCTCACCATTAGAGCCACTCTGTTCGAAACCATAAGATGTTTGCCAGACAGTCTCCACGATCTGGAGCATCTGAAACTGCTGTACAATTCAATCCTCCGAGATCGAAAATTGCCAGGCCCTGTTTGGAAGAGGCAACAGGTCCAGTATAGAGAAATTCCGGGGAAATTATGCTCTTTAGCTACGAAAATGCAGCAATTGAAGCAAAGGGTAGCTGGGGGCGAAACGGGCAATGTGGACTATTACGCGTTGATTGGATTAAGAAGAGGATGTTCGAGATCGGAACTGGAAAGAGCGCATTTGCTTTTGATGTTGAAACACAAGCCCGATAAATCTTCTAGTTTCATTGATCGGTGCGAGTTTGCTGATGACAAAGATGTTGATTCAGTGAGGGATCGGGCGAAAATGTCTTCATTGTTGCTGTATAGATTGATTCAGAAGGGATACACTAATGTAATGTCCGTGATTCTTGATGAAGAGGCGACCGAGAAAGAAAGGAAGAAGGCGGCAGCGGCAGTGGCATTGCAGGCGGCCGTTTCAGTACAACAGGTTCATGAGGTGGTGCCGCCCTCTGCCGCAAGAGTTGAGCCAACTCCAGTGGCGGCAGCTGGTAATAGTAACAGAATCGACAACAAATCCGCGAGAGTTGAGGCTACAACACAAACACAAGCATCGGTTTTTCAGGGAGTATTTTGCAGGGATCTTGCGGTGGTTGGGAACTTACTATCTCAGACGGGGTTTAATCGACCGATTCCATTAAAATATGAAGCATTGAGCTGTTGAATTTGGATTAATTAGTGTTAATTATGGTGATGCAAAAAAAAAGGAGGGTGGGGGGTGGGGGGTTTGAATAATCTTAAGTGCTTGAGCAGCAGCAGCACTTTTGAAAAATGTTAATATACCGGCGGGAGAATCTTGAATTTATTTTTGTGGCATTATGTACAAATTGGAAAACTTGTGGTACAACTATCTATCCTAATCCGCCTGGGGAAAATTTTGTTTACTAGTAGTAGTGCTGCTGCTTCTGCTTCTGTCTTGTATTTTCTTCTTATTCCCTCTTCCCTCCCCCACTTTTTTATTTTTATTATCTATTTTTGTAGCTTTGGTACAGATATTATTATTTCAATTTCAGACTTTCACTACTTTCAACCTTTTCTTCTTCTTTTTTTAAAATTCAAAAATCAAACAAAATGTATATGTTAGGCTAAAATTCGGTTGTGTGTCGTTATCTTCATAAGTTGAGATGGTCTGAAAATGGGAGGATGAAATAAATGCGATGATGAAAAAGAGTGGAGGAAGGATGCAATAATAATAATTATTAATAATAATAATTATTACTACAGAGTGAGAGCAGAGCAGAGAAGAAGCTAAAAAAGCCTTCCCTTTGGTTTGCCTTTTGGCTTCTATCTCATGTCTTGTCTGAATCCCACTATTCCTTTTTTTTTTATTATTATTTAATTTAATTTAATATATATGTCAGCCTTATCCCCCACCCCTTCACACAACTTCCAATTTTCTGACATTCCCACCATTTTTTTCATTTCCAACCTATTTTCAAGAAACCAAATTTATTATATGTATGAAATGGGTTTTTTCAAATATATTTTTGAATAAAAAGAAAAATATTGTGGCATAATCAATTATTCAATTAAATAATGTATAAAAATGCATGGTATCCAAAGCTGGTTTGCCAGTTTAGGGCAAAAGAACTGTGCCGGTGGAAATGATGTATTGCAGAAAAAAGGGTTATCACTTATCAGCACTCAATACAAGAGACCACATTTGCAGATATTATTATTATTAATTATTTATTTATTTACTTTTTCACCGTTCCAGCATTTACTAGGTAGCAATAATTATTCACCCAACATTTACTCATGGTACGGGCATCATCGTCTTTTTGCTGCTTTTTCTAAAAAAAATTGTACAGTAAAAATCATGAAAAAGACACCTCTTTCATTAAAGGTTAAAAGAAAGATGTATCTATCGACAGATTATAAACTTTCTTGATTGAGGGCAGAGTAAAACAAGAAAAATAATTAAAATTGATCATTAAAAAGGTATATATATTATACTTAATTATTATGTTTGGTCACCCATGTGACGAGTTAGGCACCAATTAAGATTTTTTTAGGCCTTAATTGCACTGTTTACAAGTCATACATGTCATGTGGGATTTTATTTTTATTTGTTTTTATTATCTAAATCATATATATATATATATATATATATTAAATAAAGAAATTATTACAAAACAAAATTGAAACTTGTCAAAAGGGAGGTTACATAATGGTAATAAAAATTAGTGTGTTAAAGTTTTGTGGGATGGTCAAAATTATCTCAAATTTAATGGTCTTGGGTTTGGGTTTGGCAAAATGTAAATTACCAAAGAAAAACAAATAAGTCAAAAAAGAGTGTAAACATCGAAAACAAACAAGGCTAAAATCGATGTCGTACAAATATTCTCAATAATCTTTGGCCCTTTCTGTATTTCGTACAATGTGTCCATTTTGATATGCTACATTTTGATATGCTAAAATAATATATATATTTATATAATATAATATGATTTTGATTAATTTGATTTAATGTAATGGCATAGCTATGTGGCTTTACTTGGAAGTGAAATATGATTCTGGTTTGTATATATTGAAAAAGTATGTATAAGAGTTTGGGGGGGTACTTTTTTTGACTTGCACATTAATCAACAAAACAATGATTCCCCACTCCCCAACAATATATGTGCTATTTATGGGGAATATTATTTATCCCAAAATGACCATCTTACCCTCTCCATCTCCATTTCTCTAAACCATGTGATTAAAATTAATGATAGTGACTTTGCCAACTATACTTGTTTTATTGTCATTGTAGTGCAGCTATGATATATGGGTCAAGTTTCTCGGCTACTAATTCCATTTTTATTTATTTATTTATTTATTTAGTGATTTCAAATAATTAAATACTCCTATTTATTGTATGTTAGTAGTAATTCGTAATGATTTAGCAATAATCTGCAGGGTCAACTTGGACAGCTAAATATTATCAAAGTTTGATTTTTGGTGAAATGAATTAGTCATCTTTAATTAATAATTACACATACTTTCTTACATTGTAATTAAAGGTGAGTTAAAAAGGCGATGGTGTATTATTATTATTATTATTATTATTATTATTAGAAGCATGATCCAATAACGAGAGAGCATATATGCATGCTTCGTGCACACTGTATGGATTGCACAAAAGAAAAAAAAGATAAAGATGTGTAAAGAGTCACGTGCCCAAAGAAATATTAGTGACCTGTAAAGAAGGGGGTAGGGAATATTGATTTAGATGAAAATAAAAATTTTGCAAAATTAATTTCACCAAAAAAAATAAAAAAAGAAAAACCAATATTAAGTTCAGTAAAATTTCAAATAAATAAATAGTCATTTACTCTTGCATCCACAATTGTTAAGCTAGCTAGCTACAACTCTATGACTTATATAGGGTGCGTGTTTTAATGCAATTCAGTGTGTGTATGTGTGTTTTACAATTGATAATAATTAATAATTTAATAATAATATTAGTGTTGTTGTGCAGGAAGATAGTGGGGGCAAAATGGAAAGGGATGTGGCCTTCACATCTCACGTTGTTGTAAGAAGTTGAGTTAATTAGTAATTTTCAAATGTTTAAAACTGTGTTAGTTAACCCAATGGTTTGCAAGATTCAATGGTTTTTCTGACACAAGTAGATACATACATATATAATACATATAATTAGCATCTTATGAAAATCTTAACCCAATTGTATAATTGAACTAGGGAATGTCAAATGCACACAATTGCATGCATCTAAACATATAATTACCATTTTTCTATTAATTAGTTGTGTGTTAGCACTTAGCAGGCAGTATTTGAAATTCAAAAGTGGTTGATGAAGGAAGGTGGCCAGATACGATGATGTCAGTTAGCACGTGGAAAATCAACTTATTATTCTTTCAATTAATATTTAAACAAGAAGCAGCCAATTGTCAAAGCTGGACGAGGCCTCTAACACATATTTATATATTAACAAATAATACTAATTATTCTATTTAGTATTTCATTCTTAAGTTGGTGAGATTATTTAAATAATTAATTAATAATAAAAAATTAAAGGTGAACAACCAATGGGCGGACGGTTTCAGACGAATCTCAGTTCCTAGTGTTTTTCAACAAATTCATCAACTTGAATACCGTGCACTTACCATGGATTATGGATGATTTATTATATTTCGAGGTTATAAAATGCTATTAATTATTTTTCAGGGCGTAAAATATCAAAATGATATATTTCAAAGGTGCAAAGTGAAATTAAGCCCATTTCACTTTGCAGTATAATTTTGAACATAGTGGCCCAAGTGAAACAGAAATGATTAAACCCATTCTCCTCTTTAGTCCACTTCTTACACGACCTTTCTAATTGTGAAACATAACTAAATATTTATAGAGGGTTTATTTTTTTAGCAAAAAAATATATATATTGATATTTATTTATTTTGAATTTAAAAAAAAAACTATTATCAATATATAACACATAAACAAAACCTGCAATGGGACCAATCAATCACTTCTTCGATTTAGAGGTCCGTTTACTCGAGCTCGAGCCGATAGTTTTGCTCTTCTTTATTTTTTTACTACAACTCCGGCAAAACCAATCTTCCTTCGGAACATCCACAAGTGGAGGATCAAGGCAGTTCAAATGTACACCGACACCACATCCTACACTACCGTGTTCACTTCCGCAGATGAGCATTTCCTCCCCTCTATCACGGGACCCACAAACCTGACACGCCACGTCATCGCCGGAATATCCTTCCGATGTGCTCACATCCTCCTCAATAACAACTTCCTCCATACGGCTCATGAGATTCTTAAGTGATTTCTCTGCCCAGGCTTCAGTGTTGTAGTGCACGTGCTTTGCGAGTGGATAATCAGGCTTGCACACATACTCCACCAAATAATCGGCTGCAATGCATGGTACCTCGTGCCTTAAAAACTCCTGCACCCACATATCGACACGTGGCATACCTGGGCTGACAATGGCGAAATCGATTCTTGATTGGAGGAAACGTGTGTACGGTGGTGAAGTTGCTAATATGGTCCCGTCTCCAGCCTTCACCACACGTTTCAAAGTATCCTAAAACACGTGCATGGAAAAAAAGAAAAGAATAAGCCAAGATCTTCTATGTAATATGATAAATTCGGAAAAAAAAAACAAAAAAAAAAAAACTTAAATAACGAAGCAAACCAGTGGAGGGGCGATGCATTCTCCATATATGACAATTTTCATTCCATAAAAGGCACCATGACCAGTTCTCTCTTTAAGAAGACGCCACTTTCTTGGAGCTTCTAAGTTGATTGCACCATCTCCGGTCAAGCCTTCCTCGTACCATTCGTATGGCTCTTCGGGTAAAAACTTTCCAGCTTCATTGCAAGCTGTTAAATAATCGGTCTTCAGAATCCAGCTGCAAAAATCAAATTATTTGGAGGCAAACCAATCAGATACTAAAGAGCAGTTATAAAATAATTCGAAAGCGTTATTATGCTATAACTGTATAAAATACCTTCCAGAAGCTGCAGCTGCAAAGAACTTCTCGGTTCTTCGTATTGGATCGGGGACAATGGAATGCGTTGCCTGATAAGACCAATGATGAGAATCTCTGCAAATTCTTCCTTTTAATCGCTTTATAACCTGTTGAAACTCCTTCCTCTGTAGCTTATGCCCAGTAAGTATAAACCGTGCAGGCTCAGTTCTCAACTTAGGCTTCTGTATTGCTTTAACAGGACTGGCTTTGACAGCTTTAGTGACGTTTTTTAGAGGTCTTTTGAGTGATTTAGGATCCTCTTTGGTCATACTTTGTTGCTTAATCGAAGAGGGTATGTTTTCCTTCTCCATAGCAGCTGAGCTTTTTAACTTCTTGGATGGTCTTCCTTTAGTTCGACCTGTCAACACAGCAGTTTCTTCTTCATTACCCGAGACAGTCTTCTTTTCATCATGTTTGCTGTTTGATCCATCATTCGCCACTTCTTCAACATGATCCTTCTTACAATTTGCTTTAGATTTAACCAAAGAACGTTTTTTACCCTCGGTTATTCTTTTCTCTCCAGCATCGCCCGTAGATTTTGATTCAGTCAATTCAATTTTCTCACTACTAATAGCCTTTTCAGCAGGATCCTCCGTATGATGTTCCTTAGATTTAACCAATGGCCGCTTCTTACCCTTGGTTATTTTCTTCTCCCCAGCATCACCCGTAGATTTTGATTTTGATTCAGCCAATTCAATTTGCTCACTACAAACAGCCTTTTCAGCAGGATCCTCCGTATGATGTTCCTTAGATTTAACCAAAGAGCGCTTCTTACCCTTGGCTATTTTCTTCTCTCCAGCATCGCCCGTAGATTTTGATTTTGATTCAGTCAATTCAATTTTCTCACTACAAACAGGCTTTTCAGAAGGATCCTTCTTTTGATTCTCCTTGGATTTAACCACAGGGAGTTTCTCACACCTGCTTATTTTCTTCTCTCGAGCATTACCCGTAGATTTTGATTTTGATTCAGTCAAATCATTTTTCTCAGTACAAACAGCCTTTTCAGCTTTAGTGCTCTTCTTCTTACTTCCTCCAGATTTGTTCTTCGTCTGTATGCTTTCGTCATCACCATGCTTTACGATACCTTCTCTTGAAAGTGGTGCCTCAAAATCTATAGACTTCTCTTTGTTACCATCGAGCTCAAACTCATTTTTCCCTTCATCATCCGCAGGACCATCTTCACCATTAGTCGGCAAAACTACTACAACCTTTTCAGGTACAGTAGTATTATCTGTGGTTTCCGTTTCTACTGCTCCATTTGAATGGATTATGCTCTCATTCGGCAAAACAGCTTTCTGAAGGTTAATGGATCCTTTAAGCTTTGTAGCACTCGCTTTCCCACTTGATGGCCTGGAACCCAATGTCTTCTTCGCAAGCATCTTTCTCTTACGGCCTACAGAATTGGTTTTCGGAGACGAGGGTTCAACAGTTTGTCCGTCATTTTGGTGCATTTCAGCTCCACTAGTGCAATTATTAGTTCGGATCGAAGAAAGGTCATTCATATCCACATTGAACAAAGTTCGATTTTCTAATCCTTCGGGAGAACGTTGAAGAGATTGATCATCACACTCTTCTTGCCTATCCTCAGCTGCCTGGGAAATGTTTAAAGCCTCTTTATGGCTCACAGAAGCTTCCTTCCTGAAAGAGCGGGTAAGATTTATGGGAGTAATATCACTAGCTAAAACACGTGAACCATCAACTAAAGATCCATGAGTCGGGACTTTAGTTTGCTCTGTAGTTGCTTTTGTGACCGATTCACCTTCTGTTGATGGTTTTGGATCGTGATTTAGTGATTTGGAACTTCCACGTGGAACAGTCATTTTCCTCTTATAGGACAATGTAAAAGATTGCCCCTCATCAAGGTTCGACAGCGTTCCCTTCAAAGGTGTTTTTACTCCATCAAAACCAGTTACATCTTGGTGTATCTTCAACGGTACATCAAAACAACCACTAACCCCGAGTTTATTGACGTTTGACGAAGGACTACCTTTCAAGTTACTTTCAATTCTTTCTGACCTTAGTGAGAGAGTGGGCTTACTGGGAGTGCTCCTTACATAACTCTTGCTACTTAATTTGGAAACATCAGCATTGGGAGATTTCTTGGAACTTTCAGATGCAGACAGCAAGGCGTTGTCTACCTTCTCTAAGATCACCTTACTATGATGCATGTTCGATGGCACTTCAGACGACAATTTTGCAGGACTCTTTGCAGGACTCCTCGCACTAGCCATGTTAAGATTCTGTTCACAAGTTTCTCGTGAAAATGATGCCTTTTGAAAGTCGGTCTCCTTTACAGGGGTTGACTGGTTCTTCTTACTGGTTTCTCCAACATTTGCCAAACTTTTAGAAGCACTCGAATATAAACTGTTTCTTGAAATTTCCTGCATCACCGGTGACTGGTGGAAACTTTTAGTCTCAACTCGTGTATTTTGGGAACTAAGAATGTTTTTCCTCCCCACTTCTACGGCTAAAGCCATGTCTTCTGTCTCTTCTTCAGAATCCTTAGCTTCAGCTTCCATTTCCATCTCCAACTCATATCCACTGCATACAGGGTTAATTTGAGCTTATTAGTTTTTTTCCTTTATGTTTTCCCGGTATTTAACAAGTCAACTTAAAGATAAAGCATCTTAGAATCTGGAGAAATGTATCTCGAAACACAAGTAATAACCAAAGGTCTAACAGTATGGTAGCATGCATGTCGACAATAGAAAAAATCATATAACTTCATATTCTAACCTCTTTAAGTAGTTAGCTTCTGGAAGAAGCTCCCAAGCCTTCAAACTGGAAAAGTACAAATAACAAGATTACAGTTATAGATGGAATAATGGAACAGTAAAAATGAAGAGACCAACTGAACGGCAATTTATTTGGGTCAAATATCTAATCGTCATCAAAATTGAGAATACCAGTCTTCCAGCCAATGATGGTTAACAAGCTGTATTCTTTTCATTTTCTTGGCAAGCTCGTACTTCTCCCCTGTTAAAGAATAACTTTTATAAGTGAATGTGGGAATGACACAAAGAGCAAGCAAATAAGCCTAAATATCAGAAATAATGAAAATACAAACAGAACATGTGAACGATAACATGGAAATCGAAGTATGTGAGTCTTATAAATGGATGCCATGGCAAACTTACCCTCAAACTTGTAGCAAATCAAATGAGTAACCTTGTTTGCCACCAACGGCTTGGAAAAATTTGCACCCATCAAAGCAACCATAGTCTATGAAACGAAGGAGCGCATGGTCAGACAGCATTACACAGTGTTAGTTGGAACTTGAAACAGCAATAATCTACATTAGCATCTAAAGTTAAAAACAAGACGAGAGTAAGTAATTATCGAAACCATGATGTCATCTCGATCCTGCCTTTGATATCCAGTCAAGCACACAACCAGAGATTTCGCACCTGGAATCCCGTTCAAATCTTTTAAGGGCCTATACATGACCTGTATCGAATTGTAAAAAAAATTATTACAAATTTATGCCGTAACTAAAAACAGATGTTTATGGTGTAACCGTATCGATATCCTTACGATACTTACAGAAATGTGATCGACGGGCATTCCCACATCAGAACTGTGATCAACCCATAAACTCGTGACCAATCTCTTGCCATCTCTTCGTGCAGCAACACATACTGGATCTCCCTGCACCATTAGCAAACAACAGTTATGGCACATCTGAATCCATACAAACAAACCTATTCGTATATGAATAAAAGTAAATTTGATTTCCAATTTGAAGCTTCAATTAGAAATAAAGAAATGCGAAAGAACCCATCACTAGAAAAACCTACAAATGGTTTAAATGTGTTGAACTCTCAATCAACCTAAATTCTAGAAGAAAGAAACAGTGCAACCAAAAGAAAAAAGGAATTAACTCACGTAAACAAGCTTATCAACAATCACGTGATTACAACCCGGTCCATAATTTACAGCATCAACTCCTCCGCCTTCTAGAAGCTTCGCTCGAATCTGAACAAAATCATAAGAGAAAAAAAAAACCAAAAGGTCATTTTTTTATTATTTAATCTGGCGAGTGAAAAATTGAAATGAAAAAAAAAAAAAAATACTCAATCGAATAAAACCTCGTCTTCCTTATCGGAGTCGAAACCGAGGAGAATAAAGCGAACTCCATGGAAGGTCTTCGACGGGTCGTCATATTCTGAATTTTGCTTGCTTTCTAGCATTGGATTTCAAACAGTGGCGGTTGAGCAAAGTACTGTAGGGTAAAATCAGCGTGCGGAATAAAACTAGCAAACGATTGCGGAGAAAGAAACCGTCTGTAACAATCTCTGATATTATGCGAGTCAAATTTGGAGTGGAAAATTTGATGTTTTTTTACTGAGTGCGAAAATTGGGGGCGCCGGAAAATTATTTCAGCAATAGCTTCTCGGGGAAGAAGGGGAAATGGGGGAATAGGGAAATTAAGAAGTCGGGAAGGGCAAAATTGGAAAGTTGGGAGTGAAGGAGGGAATTATTTTCGTGGAATTTCGTTTTGATTTTTGGTGCAGTGGCGGGAGAAGGAATTTTTGCAGGGGAACACGTGTCCTCCTCACCGTCTCATGTTCTTGGACCGGGTTAATTTTCTTTTGATTTTTTATTGGGCCTTGATAAATTATTTCAAAATAAATTGTTCAAAATGGGCTTCATTTTTTGTTAGCTATGATAAAATACTAAATTATTTTATTAGAAATAGGCTCCATATTGGGCTTTGGAATGTAACCCACGTTAACAAAGCCCGTTAGCCAATCGTCCGTTCCGTCTCAAAATTTCAATTTTTTAAACCATATTTTTTATTCCAAAACTTGGAACAAGATGATCATATAATGTGTTTCTTGATTTGTAAATATCATATTGTAGTGCATCAAAAACTGCATTTTTTTAACAAAAATGAGTACAAACTAAATAATATTCGATGAAAATCTAGAAGATTATATTGAATTTGGTACCATAAAGGACGAAGGTGTAAGAAAATTCACAATTTAGCAGTGATTGTAATTACTCGACCATTAAGAATTTATTCGTGTTATAACTAACCTTACCTTTGGGGTGGGGCCGTGCCCGTAATTTTCCCATAACATAATTCGAGTTTGGGTTTTTTACTTTTTTTCATTTGAAAAAAAGAAAAGGAAGCAGTGGGCAATTTAGTCAAATCCACCACCTGATTTCGTATTCCACAATCCACAATTCAACAGCATCATCAATGTTGAACTTCTGGAAGTAGCACGAGTAGGTGAATACAGAAAAGTGAAAACTCATTTTTATTCAACTCAATAATCCTGAAAAATCTCAATCAACCAAGAGGTAAAAATATGGCTTGGGTGACAAGATTTTTAACTGCGGTGGCGTTTTTGGCAATCGGTGTAATTTTCTCGCCGGAAACCTTCGGATCGAAATCGGACGGCCAGAAATCACCGATGTTTCTCACTGTGTTGAAACTTGCTTACCTCCTCTGCTTCTCCACCGCCTGGGGTGCTGCTCTGTGGGTTACCTTCATCGGCGGCATCATCATGTTCAAGTAAACATCTTCCCTTTTTTTTTCATTTTTATCCCCTTTGTTTAATTGAAATAACAGCTGTTCATTTTTTATTAATCCCGTAGAAATATGAATCAATTTGATAGATAAGGTTGAATTGTGGGGTAAGAGAGTGATGATATCTATATAATTCCTGTGAATTTAAGGAATATGTATCCATAATTGCACTATTGTAATTCATATCAATGTGGATAAAACCTAATTAGGAACGCTTAACTTTTGGAGAAGGATTGACAAAATTTTGTAAAGCTTGTGAAAGGGGATGTAATTACATATATATATTTACAATGCGTGCATTGTAATTTGCTGAAGCTTTGTGTCGTCCAATTTCGACGAAAATTGTCCATAAAATGCTGAATTTGGGGAAGGATTAGCCCTAGCATACACTTGAAACTAGTACTTACGTCAATTTTGTGTTCGATTATTTCCGTAGAAATTTGCCGAGGCATCAATTTGGAAACTTGCAAAGCAAGATGTTTCCAGCCTACTTCTCCATGGTGGGGGTTTGCTGTGCAGTGGCAGTAGGGTCGTTCGGTTACTTGCATCCATGGAAAACTTCGGGAGCTACTGAGAAATACCAGCTTGGATTCCTGCTTGCTGCCTTTGCTTTCAATCTCAGCAATCTTGTTATCTTTACGCCTATGACCATTGAGGTGAAAACTAGTTTCTTTTAGTAAATTATTAATTTTACGTTATGTTATTTGTGTCGGGACTAAATTTATTTTGTTGCTTAGCTCATGTTTTTCCATCGAATCAAAGTCCGAAAGAAGTTCAGTATATGTACTGATATAGGCATCGTTTGGGGATATTGCTTGGATTGATAAGATTGATTGAATAGGATAAGATTGCATAGTCGATGATAATATAATATGTGATTTTCTTATGTTTGGGATTTATGATTATACAATCCTTGTGTTGGGTAATATTCTTCATATGATTGTGTAATAATAGGGGTTGAGGTTGGTAGACCTGTTTTTAATTGCGGGCTTCAAACTTACACCCCAAACATTTGATACACCTTGATTATATTGTCTATCAAGCCTTTCTTATTCCCAAACTAGGCCTCTGTGGATGTGTATCTCTATCGCCAAAAAGAGGGATAAGGAATATGGATCTGTTGTAGTAATACCCTTTTTCTAGAATGAAAAACTTAGAAAATTCAATTTGATTCAAATAGTTTTACTTGTTTATTTGAACAATTCTTGGAAATTTAAAGAAAGGAATGATATTCAGCTTTGTTTGTTAATGCCCAACAGATGATGAAACAACGACACAAGATAGAGAGAGAAGCAAATATCGGGGAAGAAGTTGGGTGGACAAAAAACAAAGAGGAAGCAAAGAAGAATCCGAAGCTCGCTGCCATGAACAAGAAGTTTGGAATGATTCACGGATTGTCTTCTCTTGCTAATATCTTTTCGTTCGGTAGCCTTGCTATCCACTCCTGGTATTTAGCTGGTAAAATCGACTTTTAAATGTAATTCATATCCTTCTTTCGCCCGAAGATGATATGCTTGTGTAATAATATCAAACCGCCCACGAATCTGTCCCTCTTACGTTTTCTTCAAACTCCAATACAATTGCTTCACATACGAAATTATGTACTTGTGGACAAAATAATAACAATAAACACTTTTGATGTCTGAAACCTTTTGCACCGTGTGTGTATGTAAGGTATAACAAGATTCTCGAGTATTATTAATTTGTTTAATTAACTGAATTGGATAAGCATGTATTCTTGTTTAATGTGTCGAATTCTGGACTTTGCTCTTGTATCTGGAGAATGAACAACTAGTCTTTATCAGCTCAATCCGAATGCAGATATTTTCGCAAGTTCGTTTGTGTTGGATCATTGTAAAATAAGTATCCCCCAATTGTTTTGACAAAGAACATAACAAAACAAAGCAAAAATAAATGAAAATAGAAATGATTCTAAAAAGGTGAAGCAAATAAAACAAGGATACACTTGTTTGGGCTCAACCTCCATTCATCGTCAGATAGAGATAAAGATAGAGACTGAGTTGAACCCACGTGTAAAAGACGCGGATAGGGGCACAGCGCGTGTGCGCATGTGCGTGTGTGCTTTGTTGGATGGATAGGTGTTGCAACTTACAAAGATTTGAGCCATTCTGGACTTGTGACCTTTATTTTGTCACCAATTGCGCACCTTTTTCAATACCAAAAGCCTTTTCTAGTCGCCTAACTTGGCTTCAACTTGGGCATACTATGGTCCCAACTCCAAACGGATTTTCTCGGAAATTTTCGGTATTTTGGAACATATGTACAAATGTAATTCTTTTTGGTCACATTCAGTACAAATGTTATTTTTTCATAACTAGCGTAACATCGTGGTTCACCCCTAAAATTAGTTTTGTGCATAAACATCAATCAAATAATAACATATGGTGTGCTACTTAACGTGGAAGTATTAAATAACCTATTTCATCACAAATAAATAATAATAATATATGGATGATATTTGTTCGAGTTAGGTATAATAATTTTGGAATTATTTGTCATGTGATAAAGAACATTTTTCATTCACGTCAAAATTAGCAAATTGGTAATGATATTGTCATGCTACCCAAAGTGGACGGCTACTAATCAAGTAATGCCAAACGGAACTGTACCGTGTTTACTGCAATTAATCAAGTAATGCCAAACGGAAATCTTCGTGTTTATTGCAATTACGCAACATTGTTTGTCATTCAATTATCAACAACACTTGCACACGTTATAACTTAATGTTTATAACAGGAGTTTGACTCAAGTAACAAAGATCTCATAGTTCATATTTATACATCCAAAAACTCTTTTTTCTTTTTTATAAATTACATTCAGACCCCTGTAGTTTATAAATTTCTTACATCCACTCTTTACAAAAGGGTGTTAATGTAAGAGATCTACACATTGCTGTGTGGATATAATTATTAAAAAGTAATGAATTTTCTGTAAATAGATCTTACTTTTAGGGGCAGTTGTGTACCCTAAATTCAGTTGACCAGTGAGATATTTATTTTTTATAGACTGCCCAACTGAAAAAATCAGAGATAATATCAATTCAATTGGAGCTGATTTTTTATCAATCAGCCAAACTTCCCATCAATCAAAGCTATCAATAGTAAGTATATAAGACAAAGATAAACAATCAGACAGTTGGATTCTAGATATGACTATTTTTCACCAAATGGTTGTGAAAAAAGAAATAAAAAAATTTAAATAAAAAATATCATCGTACCCAAAGTCATATGTCCAATTTATCCAATCACAAACCAGATAACACAACACAAGATCCTTGCCTTCCACAACCTTAATGAATAAAGAATAATCTTTTCTAGTATATATTGTAATATAATACTGCCAGCCAATTTGTCTGGTCCAGTGGTAAAAAGTACCACTTTCCAACAAGAAACCAATCACCAACTGTATATGTATCTAATTTTTCCATCAATTTAATTTTAATGTATGCTGATCAAACTAAATGTTCCCAATACCAACATTCTAGCAGGGAACAAAAGCACCACAAGCAAATGCATGTGCTGTGACGCAACTAACCTACTAAACCGTTTCAAAGAATCCGCTCCCGTTCGAATAATGCCCGAGAAGTTCAGCTGCCCCTGGCCGATCATATTGCTGCCCGAACTGACCGATCTTGTCACAATAAGACCCGCGTTGACCCCACGTGGTGCAACGAGGGGCCACCAAATTTTCTTCCGTCTTTCTCTCCTAGCTCTTCTTGTTCGTACGAGCTCATGGCGAATGAAACTTCGAACGGATTTCAAGTACGAACTCATATCGTGGTCCCTTTGAATGGTTCCTTGAGAACCGTATGCTGAACGGTCACTTAATATTTCGAGAGGGTGTGGTGAGTTTAAGAACACAATTTGTGCTGCTTGGATTTGCTTCTGTGCTTCGGAGATATCCGATTCTGAACATGACAAAATATACAGACCACTGCCCGATGGAAGAAGCTCGTGGCTTGGAGAGAATTTGTTGTCTGGCTGAAGAATTATAAACTCGCCCATCGGAGTATATAACAGCTTCTGTTGATAGATAGAACAATACAATCAAGATTTTGTCAAATATCATGTATAACTAACTAATATAATCATTATTATCAAACCCAATTTCCAAAGGAGGTTTTACGTAGTAAATGTGTACCTGTTTATTCAGACACGGAAGATTTCGGAAGTTCTCGTTTATAGCCTTGAGAAATTCAGAAACATGGTTAGGGTAATTGCAAGAGAAAGCTCGAGGGACAATGTCTCTGTGCATGGTGATAGATTGGATGTGATTTCGAGGCAACCGTAGATTGCGTAACAGGCGATCACCTCCACACATGATTGATGGAGCACCGAAGGTTATAACGGGGAGTAAAGAAGAACGAGGCACTTCACCCCTTATGAGCAACATTAGATTTACTAGTACCGATAAACTTCCACCAAGTGAGTGCCCTGTGAAACGTAATGTGGCTCGATCCCCGTGAGATTTAAGATGCGCATGAATTTCAGGCAACATTTGCTCGTAAATCCCTTTTGCAGCCTCGTATATACCCCTGTGTACAAGTACATCCAGCCCCTAAAGAAAGAAGATCCATCAAATCTTCTTTTCTTGAAGTTTTCTAAAAGCCAGCACTTCAAAAAGTATGATAGATAATTACCTCAAACTGAATGGGCTCGAATAATAGATTTGCCTGCCATGAAGCCAGTGATTCGGATCCCTGTAACGTAAAATATTTAGAAACTAATTAAACTTACCGAATTATATCGGAATTAATTGGGATTTTTCTTGCGTATATTAAGCTGTTCTACCTGTATGACGAAAAATCTCGTGGCACTTTGATCATCGTCACAAATGAACCACTCGCACGGTGAAGAAAGAGTTGAGTTCAAATCATCTGCCACAGCCTGTTTCACTTCCTCCTTTGCAGCAACAACAGCAGTCACCGAATCGGTTGTTGCCATTAACGAGGCTACATCTTGGTTCATCAGATCAATACCGCCATTGCCTCCATTTCTTTCTCCAGATGAATTCTCGTCTGGGGCCGATTTGGAGGATTTGAAGTGAAGAATGCTTTTGGTGTGAGAGTGCAAATAGGAAGCAGCAGAAGCAGCAATTTGATACGCAGCGTACGCGCTTATCCGATTCTCGTTAGTCTTCGTCTCATTCTCCTTCTTGTTGATGTCTGCTTCGTCGCCTTTGGGATCCTCTGTTTCGGTTTCTGTATTGGCTTCTTTTTGTCCCTCTTCGGCTGATAACTTCTCTTTCTCAATCTTCAATGCTTGTTCTTTCTTCTCAACAGAAGAAGTCACAAATCGTAATCCGTGGTATCTGAACAGATTCCCAGGCTGTTTCAACCATTTCATAAGAACAAATTAGCCAACATTTAAAACAGTTGAATTGAAAAATCCCCAAAAAACAAAAAAATGAATTAGCCAAAATGTTTGCAGATGTTTACCAGATTTCAATGAAATTAGGTAAAACAAACAAATCAGTTGTGATCCATAAATCTCGATGTTATCAAACCCTTCAATGTTTATCATGAATTGATTATGATAGATTAAAAAAAAAAGGTTTAAGAGATTAGGGTACCTTGATTTGGGGGATGGAATAAGCCAAGCTTCCCAAATAAGACAATTGGGCATATAATCTAGCTTCTCCCAAAGGCACCTTTCGAAGAAGTTTCGAGAACGATTTTCTATCGAATTCAATTTTTTCATCATCATCATCATCATCATCGTCTTCAATCGTACACATATCACACTCTCGATCGTCTTCTTCCCCAATTTTGCCGTCTTCTTCCAATTTTACCCCCATTTCCTCCGACAAATTACCATCATCTTTCCCTTCCTGTTTCCAGAGAGACCTCACATGCAGAATCTTCAGCACCCAATTCCCGTTCCGCCGTTCCTCTTCGCTCTCCGTAACGTCTTCCTTTTCCTCCACCAAAACGGCGTCGTCCACCGAGATTGCCGGCTCGTACCGATTTTTGCCTCCCGGCCACAAGGATCTGAGCGGATGCCTGAAAGTATAGCCCCAGGGTAAATTCCTGTTCTGAGAAGCCGAAACCGATGGCTTCTCACTCAGCCGCAGGTCTCCATTTCCGGCGGCGGCGATCGGCTGCGCCACCATACCGTGGATCCCCGCCTTGAAACACAAAGCGTCCATTATTGAGAAAAAAAAAACTATTTCCTTTTCGTAGAATCCTAAATCAAACTGGAACTGGTTAATTTACGATTGTATATGTATATAACTATGTATCTATATATCTATATATATACGTATATTATATGTATCTGCAACGAGAGGAGGGACGCTGGATTTTTATAGGTCACAAGCTTTGAATTTTCGAGTCCTCGCCTTATAGAGGGGGGAGTTTTTCTTTTTCTTTTATTTATTTTTCTTTTTCTTTTTAATTTTTATTTAATTATTTAATTTAGGCAAAAACAGGTGATCAACATCTCTCTCCTCTGCCAGACTGCATTACTTCAAGAACCCTTTTTTCGTGGACCAGCCAAAAAAAAAAATTTAAATTAAACAATTGTCAAAAGCAAATCAAACGACGTCGTCACCACGACCTGTTTGTCTGTTTCCATTCATTTTTAGGGTAATATTAATAGTAAATCTTTTAATAATACATTTTATAACCTGTTTAAATTAAAATTTTGAAACTTTTTAAATTTAATGAAATATCAAATAATTGATAAATTAAAAAATATATATTTAAAAGTTTTGGAAGTAATTAAGTAAAGCTTTTAGATTCGATGTATCTCGGCAGGTGGGGAATAAGTAACCGACTAATTGAGGTTTGGTCGAGAAATTAAAATTACAGGTTAGCAAATAGAAAAGAGGCGCGTGGTGACGGGTGCGGGACCCACAGATTTGTGATATTATGTAAATGCCACGTCATAATGTTGAGGATGAGCTACAAAGGCCGCATGACGTGTCCGTAGATTTGTCGCGTCACTCAACTATTCGCCGACACGCATACATTTGCACAGCACGTGTCTGATTCATTAAACTGTCTTTCTACTCGGGAGTTGTAAATGCACAAATCCCATTTCCAAAATATATACTACTTTTTTTTAAATAAAAATTAATTTGTTGACCTTTCTAGATAAATATTTTGGGGAAAAATTCAAATATTTCTTTATTTCAGAACTACAAAAAAATATTATTTAAATACCTCTTTTAAAAAATAATTGAAATTATTTGACTATTGAAGCCTAACTATCTCTTTTCAAATACAAAATATTATTTTATTTCTCAAATTATTTTTCCAAAACAAAATAAAAATAATTCTTTTTCTGTGCAATTATGAATATAAATTACAGTCCTAGTCAGTGGGCCGGGGAAATTAATTGTAGCAATAATTGGGCGATAGCCCACATGGAGTTTAGCTTGCCCATTTGATTTTAAGATGATTATACATTTGGGCTTCTTTTCTATTTTAACATTGTTTTTTTAAGTGTGTTAGATTAAGCTTTTAAGTTGCTTTTAAATTGTTAAAATAGCTCATAACATGTTTAAGAACTTGTAAGATCTTCTCAAGTGTTTACTAAATCTTTTTAAAAATATCTTAAAGTTAAAAAAACTAAGTTGTTAGAGAGCTTATAAGATTTTTTTTTTTTAAATACATGTATCCCACATTTTCATTTAAGATCTTAAAAGCAGTAAACTTAATTTATAAGCTTATCATCCAAATACTTCAAAAGATAATTTTTAAAATAAGACGTAACAATTTACCAGTAAAAACTTGTCAACTATTTAAAATAAATTTAGTCAAGCGGGCTCTTAATATACACGAAACAATATTTAATAGCAAATATTCTTTCACCACAAAATTTATATATAAATGTATGTCCACCACAAATTATATTTAGGTAGTAGGTTGGTTTGATAGCACTAGGTAGTAACATTTAAAGGTATGATGACTTTTAGCATCATAAAATGCAGCTATTTATTGCATGGGCTTTCCATCTACCTACCACCCTTTTTGATTTATAGTCATGTCTATGCAATATAACTATATAAGCACCCATGTCACCTCTAATTAATTATGTTTGTGTTTTGATAGGTCATCATTTTTTGACGAATAAGAATCCACATCCAACCGTATAGATTCCCTTTAGAAGTGTAAATTGGAAGGAAATTTTAGAACTCCACCAATTTCGACCAGAATATCTTCGACTTCGGAACAACCTTTTTTCATTCCTAATTTTGAAGAATTATGATTTCCAACCAATCTGACTCTTATTGGAAATGTAATTGGATTAAATATTAGATTCGAATTTTCAATCCAAATTATAGTTCCAATTTTTTTTGAATGTTTTCCAACAATTACACTTATGATATCAATATTATTATTGATTTTATATTATAAGTGATTAAATAAATGGAAGTTCTGAACTCCGTCAATTTCGACCGAATCTTGAAAAAGTTTTTCCGTTTCCAAGACAATGAAATTGTTATTGAAAAGCCCAAGTGGCCGAGCCGAAATTCAACTCCAAGCCCAATACCGAGCCAAATCTGAAGCCCAAGCCCAAGAACTATACCTATATATATAGGTCTGCCGAATTAAATTGTCTCTCAAGTCTCAATCGTAATAACAATTGTTACCTGCGCTCACATATTTTTACCCTCTCTTTGAGATAAATAAAACTCACACCGGAAAACCCTGCGAGACAAGAATCACATCGGCGCCGGCGCGGCGACGGGACCGGAAACTGTAAATCCTTTTCAATTCCATTATTACGTTTGTGAGTATTTAGAACATTGGCTATAAGATTTTCTGCTGCCCTAAATTGTTTCGAGTTAGGTTTTCCTATTTCGTAAATTTGCTACTATCGGTTAGTATTGCAGTCCTCATCCAGTATTCACCGGTAGGGCAGCAATTGGTTTAATTGAATTCGATCATCTCCACGCCGTAATTATTTTCTTCTTTCTACGTAAATATTATTTTTCTTCAATCAAATCGATGAAACCTGAAGACTAAAGGAACTCCATTTTTTTTTTCTGCATTTGAAGTGTGCTTTGTGTATTTTATGGCTTTGCATTATTAATTAATTATCCTTAAACTTGTAATGTTGATATCTCATCGTGTCTGTTTTGCCATATCCACGTGTCCGTCGTACATAAACAATAGCGTAATTTGGGGAATGATTAAATTGTATGGATCTATAAAGTTTCTAGAATACAAAAATCACTGCTATATGGACTTTACAGTTTGATGGGATGGTAAGATTCGATTGTAATCTTCTAGAATTGATAAATAAAACGGTCTTCGTAACTTTAAATCATAACTGCATTTTTGTACAGATAATGATGTGTTTGCCTACTAATTATCTTTGTTTCTGTTTATATCTGCGTGTTTTGCTGGTATTTTCCATATTTTGAACTCATGGATCTAAATACCGAATATTTTTTTTTGTTACGAAATGAACAGAAGGAGGTATCAGTTATCGACGATGAATAACTCCACAGCAGGACCTTCCTCGAAAGTAAAAACGGGCTCATCCCAGTCTTCAGAGAGCTCCTTAAAGCGTAAACGGGGAATGTTCCAGAAGGACTGTGAGTTTCTCCCTCTGGAAATTCCTTAATTATTTTTGTGATTTTTGAGGTCCATATTTAACTCACTTATTGTTTATGTGGATGTAACAGTGCATCATATGATGTACGGATTTGGAGATGATCCAAATGTACGTCTTCTTTTGCTGATTCTTTTGCACCTTTTGTGGTTTGTCATTTTATAATCGCAAGACTCATTTGTATAGTTGTATTAATGCATCTATCTTTTTGTATTATTCGTAGTAGAGATGTTATAATACACAGATCGTAAATTTGTTGACAGGCTGTCATTAATTTAGTTCATGTTCAACTTTTACATGTTTCATATGAACACGAATTGACTGAGAATAGGTGTAGGGTAAGGAAGGATGGGATACACTAGGGTCATAGAATGCTCTCAAGCAAGTTTAACTTGGAAAGAAACCTGGAAGCTGGAATTGTTAGTTTCGGCTATACGTTTGTATCTATGATATTGAGCTGATGATTTTAGTCTACGAGAAATTGTATTTATACTCTTTTAACGTTCTTATCTCTTCCTGTAAGTAATGGCTTTTTATTGCGATTTTTGTACCTCAGCCAATCCCAGAGACAGTTGCACTGATTGAGGACATTGTTGTGGAATATGTCACCGACATGGCAAGTCATTGTTTTCTTTTCTGCTATGTTCTTTATTTCGTAACAAGTGTTATTCAGCCCTTTACATCTTGTTCTTATATTGGGAGAATTTTGATGCTGGATTCCAACAGGTCCACAAAGCTCAAGAAACCGCTTCCAAAAGAGGGAAGCTTTTGACAGAAGACTTCCTCTTTCTAATCCGAAAGGTATATTATCATGCTGAAAACTAACTGTAAAATAAAACAGGTAAAATTAGACAAATGCTTTCGAGTTTCATATACAAGTGTTTGTTTTTGCAGGATCTGCCAAAACTGAATCGTTGCACAGAATTGTTGTCAATGAACGAAGAATTAAAGCAGGCGAGAAAGGCCTTTGATGTTGACGAAGAGAAACTGGCAACAATCGACTAACGTGCTATATCAATAGTTAACAGTTAGATGGCTCCATACGAGATACTTTTTGACAAGTTTTCTTTTTAAAGCTTTTTAAGCAGGAAAAGAAAATAGGTTACCATCTTGACCGAATAGTATGTTCAACTGTAAGAAATGTCTGATCACTTGGCGATTGCATACTTTGATTTGTAGAAGGAATATGATCCATTTGCAATCCTTGCCGGAGCTTTCCAACCAAAAACATGGCCAGTAAAATTGGAAGTAGTGCAGTAGATAATAATTAACTAAAAGAACGTGTGCATTCTTTTCAATATGAACACAGTGGTGCTTCAATATTCAAATTTATAGTTGCCATAATAATTAATGCATTTTCAATATGAACACAGTGATGGTTCAATATTCAAATTTATAGTTGCCATAATAATGTAACTGCACTGGAACCGCAGAATACCTCTGCATTAAATTGCTAAAATGCTTTATACAAAAGGGTTTCATACAGCATCAAGAAGCAATTAGTCTAATCATGCTAAAAACAAGTAAAATGCAGATAACCCCAAAATGTTTACAGCTCTTTAACGAATGATCAACTAATTGAACAAAATTGCAAAAAGAGTAAACATCAAAATGTAAAAATTAAATTTAGTGGCTTAGAATATGTAAGCACAATCTTACATTACAATAGTATACCTAAACTAGTATCTCCTTGATCTTTGTCTTTTGGTCCTCTGTTAACGAGGTGGGGAAAATAACCTCAAACAGGACGAATAAATCTCCCTTCTTGTTACTGAAATGTAATGGCATACCTTCGCCTTTAAACTTCCTCACTTCCTTGGGCTTGGTAATACCCTGAGAGTTCAAATGAAAAATATTCCCAAAAGCTTTGTTATTTCCTTCAAATGGAGATCTAACGCTAATAATATTTTAGGACTTAGTTGTTGATATAAACTACAATCAAGAATTGCCACTCACCTTGGCGCTAATGTCCACCAAATGTTCATCGAGGTGTGTAATGGTCTTCTCAAAACCAACAAGAGCTTGAACCTGAATACAAGAGGGAGTCAATTTTCGCTTATACTCGAACAACCTTCACACAATGTAGCCCAGAGAGTGGAAGAATAACTAATTTCATATTTAATGAAAAATGCTTGTATACTAGAAACAGAGAATATTGCACATTGTCAAAGCAATTGAATTTTAGCAATTTCGTCAGTTTTTCAAGTTTGAGAGTTGCAAGGTCCATGAGCAACTTGCGAGAAAAGCATATCGACTACAAGCACAAAAAAAATTGCATTGTGTGTTTTAGTTTCCAAGATAGGATAGCTGATATTACACAATCTTATGAGAACCTAATTGTGTACAGTTCCCTAATGAATCGAGATTAGGTCTCATTTTTTCCACAATTGTGGATTGGCCAGAAATCTTATCCTACTAATCAAATCATATAGTGTCCAGTTACTTGGTTAATCATGGCCAATTTTACAAACCAAACCAACAAAACGAGGCCATAAATAAATACTCCATTTTGCTAAGAATATTAAAATGACTTTGTTTAAAACAATCCATAAAATAGAAAATCCACACACAGTGCAAAAACTATTCTCCATCCCTCCATAAAGAGTTCTTGGTGATATAAAAGTCTAGTGGTTATAATCCTATAAGTCCAGTAAGACAAAGAAAGTTTAGGAACTATAGGAAACATCATTACCAAAGTTATCTTGACTGTCGTGTGCATATCATTGCCTTCCCTCCTGAAGCGATCATGAGGTCCAGTACGTACGCGGAACTACACATATATGCACACCCGGTCAAGCAAGTGAATGCTATGTTAATCTGTACATATTAACTTGGATGGA